TGTAGATCTTTGTTTTCCACCCAATGAATTTCCCTGTATGTGGTCCTTTTGTTCTCCATCCATTTGTTCCGACTTTAGCATATTTTGGGGCATGCCAATTTGCAGTTCTGGTTCAAAGGTTATGAGAGCTAATCCTATTTTTTTCTAGTTTATCACATTACCTATTATTTAAGCTCCTTGTGTCGTGGCACCCACAGTTTGTATTTCGTTTCCCCAGTATTTGGAGATGTCTTTGACATTTCCAGACTTTTCAGTTAAAAGTAGAGGCCTCTAAAGCCATCAGTTCTTGGCTGTCTGAGAATATATCTATGACCCTTTTAATACCTTTTTAATATTTCTTATGCCCAGAGTTATATTGCATGTATTTTATCTTGGACAATTCATGGCGTGGGCCAAGAGGTTTCTCTTCAGGATTTTATTTTTCCAAACTTGTCATTTATATTTCTATTTTGAAAGCCTGCCTATTTGTCTTTTAATTTCATTTTGCCTGGCATTTTTAGATTAATTTTTTCATTATGATGACTTTCTCTCAATTTTCACTTTTTTAAGCCAAGCTCTGTATCTAAGCAAGTATTGCAGTCTCAGAAAAGTGCTGAAATTGGGCATGTTAGCGTTGCACCTGTAATGATGAGACTTTTATACATTTAGGTTTTTGCAAACTTTATGGCCATCATATGTGGCAGAGTGGTAGAGCCAGTAAGCTATTTTTAGATTTATACCACAGAGCTTTTATAACAAAATCACACAAACACTTGTTCTTCATCTTTTGTTTGCTTGAATGTCTCTTCAAGATGAGCTTGTAATCACTTTCTATATGTTGCTTCTTCATCTCCTTGGTAAAAGCTTTATTTTCACTTTTTAGAGAGAAGAAAAAGAGAAAAAGAGAGAGGGAGAGGGAGGCAGTGAGAGAGAGAGAGAGAGAGAGAGAGAGAGAGAGAGAGAGTGCTTCTTAATTATGTCTTAATCAAAAGAATTGTTAATTTGGGGCATTTATTACAAAATTAGTTTAAGCTATTTCATGTTTTCGCAAAATGGGATTAGTGAAGGTGGGTAGACCAGACTATTCTAAAATCGGCCATTTGCACAGGATTTTGTTGATATACGCCTCTTACCAACCATTTTTTTTGGTAGACTGGTGATTAAGGATCAGGTGTTATTATTAAAATTTATTTTCCTAAGTTATGATTTAGTAATAGAACTATTCCTTCACTTTTAGTAAATTTTTCAGTAAAATAGATAAATTCCAAATTGGCTTTTGGCACAGAAAAAATATATAATACAAAGGAGAGTTTAAAATTGAAGGATAATCACCCTTACATGTAAGTCCTATTTTCATGTTTCTTTTCATATTTTATCATAATAATTTTCTCTCTCAGAACAAACATATTTTCAGATCATAGAGCTAACATCACCATCTCTAAAAAAGGTTTAAACAGAAAGAAAACATCAACTTTAACAATATTTTATTTTTAATAATTGTAACAATATTTCGAGCTTAAAGAAAACATGGAGGTAGAGTTTGAAAGCAAACACAGACTCGCCTATCTCAATATATCTACGTTGGTCCACATTGGTGGTTTGTTGAACTTTTCCGCAGCCACAAGCCTTCGCATTTATCACGATATTTCCAACCCGAACAAGGATTTGTACCTAAAATTTGGTTACTCCTTTAAATATGTTTCAACGCTGAATGCAGTAGTCCAGTCGATATATTTCCTTATAGCTCTCATAGTTGATATTATGATAAGTTGTTCGTATACTATGGACGCTCCTCCCAGATGGCTGATGGTGAGATCTTTCTACAGATCGGCGATAGCTATACCATATGGATCATATACGTGTGTAACGTTTTGGATATTCATTTGGTACGATGTAGGGTTGATGGCGGATTCCGGTCCGAAATGGACGCGTCACATAATTTATACGTCAAACACACTTTTTTTACTGCTTGATGTGATCTTTTGCAAGGGGGAATCTGTCCGCATTGGCACCGCTCTGATTGTGATGCACATTCCATGTACACTTTACTTCATATGGCTGCACATCCTTTATCACTTCACTGGAGTGTGGGCTGTTTCTGTTTTGAAACATCTTACGCTCGTGGAGAGGTTGATATTATACGTTTTTAACGTACTAGAAGTTTACTTGAGCTTTGTGATTGGGAAGATCCTAAACGACTTTCTGTGGGATGAAAATTTTGTCAGTCGCATCCCGATATTCCGCAATTTTGTCACAGCGCCTCCTCGTTTCATTTTCGGACAGCCGTCTACAGAATCTGCCAAATTCAGACAATTCTTGAGTCGTACCGAAAGCCTGCTTGTGGACAGACCACGTAAAAAGAAGAAAAAAGAAACCAACCGGTAAAATTGAAAACTTACATTTTCCAACACATGATTTTATTTATTTTAAGTATTGCACATCACGTAAATGGATGTAATTATTATTTATTTATTTATTTTGTAGAACGCCAGTAGAACCTTAGAATGGTGAGATTTGGACTCATGTTGAAATTTCATTCAATCAGCAACTACGAAATGCTTAATCGGATCGATTGAATACGTATTACTTTTAATGAGGAAGAAATTATCTGCCGATGAACTCTAAAACGAATATAAGCCATTAAATAATCGTATTCTAGTTTTTGTAATTGCGTAATAATAAATTATATATAGATATTGCAGAACACTTCTCCCGCTTGCCCCGTCAGAAAGGGTGCGTCAACATGTATATACCCGATCGTGTGCCGCATGGCTGTTGGAAAACGTTCCACTTGGTGCTGAAATGCATCACGTGATTAACCGTGCAATACTATCTACATAGAGATCAACTCTATCCCCCTGGGTGTAGGGGCCCCACTGGCGTCGGAACTACCTGATCCGCTCCTAGCGAGGTTTTGTTTACAGTGGAATTTCTAACCACCCCTTAAAGGAACACTGCCGTCGGTAAAGCCACCACAGAACATAAGGCTCTTCTCTAAGTACACACCAAGGGTCTCACCTCCGATCCCATTCTCACGAACGCGCTGCTGGGCTTGGAACTTGGAACACTCTTGCGCTACAGGATCTGAAACCATAACCCCTCTGTGCAGCTGACCCGGCACCCGCCGTCCGCGGCTGACTCCCTATCATCCGAATGGTGAATGTGAATACCGTACGTTACCCAGAAGATCATGGGGGACTTTAGGATAAGGTAATACATAGTAGGAAGGATTAACGATGAATTTCAGTTTACATTTACACATCATCCCAGCAGGCCAAACTCGATGAAATGCTTGCAGAAGACAAAGACGGACATCCACGCAATACTGCTTTTGCTCGAAGTACGGGGCAATAACGTCTACAACACGGCGCCATAGAACTGTAGAGAGTTGGTGTCGGAAGCCCCAACTGATGAGGGATTAAATGAAGGGAATCAGGGTTTGGATACTGTCGGTGCATGAGGAGTTTTTCAAAGATTGGTCTATATGAAGAGCAATGGCTTTTTTGGTTTCAGGAGCATGATAATGGAGGCCAATTTTTATCAGATTAGGGGGTATGTGGTTCTTAAGACGAAGTTTCACAGTTGGCTAAGGAATCAAGGGCACATTTAGGAATGTGGCAGATAATATTTTATATATGATTGAAAATATTTTTGTGATGTAGTCTGTTGGTTGGAATTTTGCCAATGCTAACAACAATGCTAAGTATCAGGTGATATTTAGACGGTACGTGAACGTTTAGTAAATTATTAAGATTGTTGAATTCCAAATTAAAGTTTGGCACAGTAGGACTAGGTATTACAAAGGAAATGAAAAACTGAACTTTTTTAGAATTGAAGATTAATCGCCTCTCACATGTAAGTATTACTGCTACGACTTAATATTTTATTATAACAATTTGCTCTCTAAGATCACATATTTTCAGAACCAAGAGCTCGCCATTCAAAAAACAAAAGCAAAATTGGAAAACATATTATATTTAATAAACATATTCCGTAACTACATAAAACATGGAGATAGATTTCGAAAGAAAACACCGACTTGTCTATCTCACTTTTTCTATCATCGTCCACACTGTTGGTTTCCTTACCTTTTCCGCCGGAGTATGTTTTCGCTTGTATCACGATGTTACCGAGGACGACCAGGATTTCTACATGAAATTTGCTTATTCCTTCAAATATGTCAGTATGTTGAATGCAGTAATCCAGTTGTTATATTTCTTTTNCATTTTTCTCTTCTGATAACTTTAAAATAGCCTTCAAAAGCTATAAAACTGTTCACATTCCTCTTTCCAAAATTAAAGATCCCACACCAGTAACAAACAAATCTGACGTGATTTATAAAATCAATTGTTTAAATTGTCCGGCAACTTGCATCAGAATTCATCCAAATATTTAGATAAGAGGGTAAACAACATATCTATGATTGCAAAAAAACCCAAACAAAATCCTACAGCACTGGCAAACAATGCAAAAATATAAAATTTTTAGAAATGGTTTACATCAACAGAGATAAACACAGTATCAATTACAGAACAGACACACGTAAACTCCAGCTACGCTCATTGTATAAATTCATTTTTTTTCACATCTTACATATATTTGTATAATTTAAACAATGTTTATAAATCTCAGGCCCTGAAGATGATCTCAATAAAGATTGAAATGCTGGTACGCGCAGGATAAAGGATATGTTTCTAAACCTGTTGGCATGATAAAGAAACTGTTTTTATAAAACCTACGTCATACCAGACCGCAGCTCACGATTTTCAAATAAATAATCATTTTTCTAAGAAATAAATCTATAAAATATATAATGATTATTTGTAGATTGAGAGATGCGGTATGGTATGACGTAGGTTTTATAAAAACAGTTTCTTTATCATGCCTACGTTTCGATCTTTACTGAGATCATCTTCAGGGCCTGGGATTTATAAACATTGTTTAAGTTTTACAAATATATGCAGGATGTGAAAAAAAAATTTGTTTGTAACGCTTGGCAAAGACTAGGTTATCATTTTTCAATAATAATAAATTTGCTAATAATAAATAAATTTACTATCACTATTTTTTAAAGTTCACAGGCACTCGTTTTTACAGCAGAAGTACCATAAATCTCAATCGCTCGCTCTTTTTGCCTAGTTTTCACCGAAGGAGTACTCGGCAACTGGCCGAGAGCACTGTCTTTTCTTTTTACACTAAACGACGGAGGCTACAGACAAGACAATCCCTTCTTTTAAAGCGTCATCACCATTCACAAATTTTCCTGGCAGTCTGAGCTGCGGTTTTCCATTTTCGGTAATAAAAAAAACCATTGAATGATGAATATGCAATATTTTAATCCTTTTTTTTTTTAAGATAGTTCCTACTCACAATAAGTTGTTTTCCAACGATCCGGATTTCGAGCCCTTAGCTCATCATCAGGTTGAAGGATTTCTAAAACCAAGTCTCTCGACATTTTGCAATTCATAGTGTCTGTAGTTGTGGGTTTTCTGTATGCGTCTATTTCTATTAGGTTGTTTATTATGGACAATTTTAGGTCGAAAACGAGAGTAAAAGAACATGTGCCTAAATCGAACAAATTTTCGGAATTTAAGGACCACCTAAAAGAAACAAAGCATAATTTCAATTCAAATTTAAATACAAGTATTACATAGTTTTAACAAAGGGAGAGAACTAGATTGATTTGAGAAATTTGAAATTAAAAAATGTAAAATTGAACATGGAGATAAATGCATTAATAATATAATAGATTTTGATCTACCTCCCATTTTAAAAATGTACATAAATATTATTAAACGTCCAAATAATTAAATTTGAATCAACGACTGCCCAATAACCACTTGATTTTTACGGATGGTTCGATAATAAGTGGTAAAGTCGGATGTGCCATTTACGACCCTACTAAGCAATTATGTAATAAAATAACCCTTCCCTGAATAATGTCTATATTTTCCGCAGAAATGTATGCTCTTTTAAAAGCCTTGGATTATGTTGCCACAATAGAAGGGACTGAGTTTTGTATATTGACAGATAGCAAAAGCTCAGTTTCTCAAATCCATAATTTTTCCCCTAACACAAAATGTGACTACCTGGTGACCGAAATAGTTGGCAAAACATACGACCTAAATTTAAAAAACAAGAAAGTAATATTTGGTTGGTGTCGCGGTCACTGTGGAGTGGTGAATAACGAATTTGTCGATAAGTTGGCAAAGGAAGGCCAGTACGTCAAAATTCCTAAATCTGATGTACAGAGGGTACTAACTAAAAAACTCACAGGAATGGAAAAAGTGGAACGATAGGGATAAGGCAGGTTCTTTTTTTAAGGCTTTCAATCCTGAACCCCGTCCCATTTCATGGATTTTCGCAATGAGGGGAAGCAAGGCGTTTTTTTCTTCGATTTTCAGAATTAGGTCGAATCACTGCATATGTGGGGCTTATCTGAACAGAATTCGTATAAGACCCTCCCCAAATTGAACCATGCGATGAACCCGAGACAATGCAGCATTTTTTGTTTGATTGTCCATAGTATGAAGAAGCAAGAAATGCTATGTTCAAACAAATCTTTAGTTACAAAGAGGTAGAGAAGTCCTTCGATTTTAATAGCCTTATTGGTCCTGAAAATGAAATGGTATTTAAAACATTGTTTGAATTTTTAATAAAAATAAACTGAAGGCTTAATTATCAATTAATTAATCAATTGATTATTTATTACCGCTGTAAATACTGATGTATTTATTTATTGACTATTTGTATTGTTGTTTGTTAATATTGATACATTTTTACAGATTATTTATTAATTGTTTATTTTTAATTGATTGATTAAGAGGTGAGGAGCCTGGGCAGTTCCGGGGGTGCTGGGTTGGCTGGCTCGGGTTTTCTTCAGAGGGAAGCGAGAGTAACTATGACTCTCTTAATAGAGGTCTGAAGTACTATAGAGGTCAGACGTAAGAGAGTCCATTAGTGAAGGATGGGTCGAGACGCGAATACATCATCTTCGATGACTTAGCCTCTCTCGATTCAGACAACCCCAGCTTACCCCGCGCTATCTTTTTTTCCGATCGAAATGTATACACGGCTTGATCGGATGGAAGATTGCGTGTGATGGTATAACTAACGGGGCAATGTCGGCTAGAGGAACTATGGTCCTAAGAGAAGGAACAGGGTGTGCTGTTCCCCTCCGAGATGGTGACGGAGTCGCTACCCGACAAAGAAGGACACCAACGTAGACCATACATCTCTAGCACCCCCTAACGGGGGCCCGCACAAGGGAGCAGCCCTTCCAAGCGCCTACTGACCAGCCCAATATGGCGTGCGGGGGCAACCAATGGCAGAGGCTTTAAGGGGGTCTGGGGCTGCCAACCCCATTCCCCGACATAAATAACAGGCACGAAGAATCAAGAAAAAAGACAAACGAATAAAGCCCCATCCACCGATGCGGCACCTGTTCCGTGCACCAGCGGAAGCGTTGCCGGACCATCGTCGTTCGTCTGCGTCACCTGCGATAGGAGCTTCACCATTGCAAAGGGCCTTGGAGTGCACAGAAGGAGAGCCCACCCTGTGGAGGCCAATGCGGGTGTCCCAGTTCGGACATCTAGACCGAGGTGGACTGAAGAGGAAATGAGGATCCTTGCCGCGGCCGAGGTAGCGGCCGAATGTGAAGGAGTCCGTCACATGAACCAGAAGCTGTTGCCAATGATTCCTGGAAGGTCCCTTGAAGCTCTCAAGGGACTGAGGCACAAGAATGAAAAATATAAGGAGATTCTTGCCCAACAGAGGGTTCAGACCATTTGCAAAGGGCAAGTGGTCCCCGGGAAGTGGGGAGGATGTGGACTTTTCCAGGGGCCCATGTGGCCATGTACGGTTTTTATCCACATCCTCCTAATGCTGCCGAAATTAAGTGTATACACGAACGAGAAGCGGGCGTATGTGGTGGTGCCCTTTGGGGGTGGCCCGGGTAGTCACCAATAAAATGACATTGACTGAATGCCTGTAGGGCAAAGTCAAAAAATGAAGAAAAAAATTAATTAATTAATCCTTTTAATTATTATTTTTATAATGATTTTTATAAAAATATATAAGGTATTATTCTAATTTTTTATCTTTTATCTTTAATCACTAATTTATAATTAATTTCTTACAGTATTTACCATTATAATAGTTACTTTTGTTATTTCATCTAAATGTCATTGACAATCCTCAAACAACGGAAATGGTCCAGGATTCTCTTCAAGCTCCCTTGCAATTGTCACCTTTTTATGATTTCTTCACTCCATCTCAGGTTCACCGTGTAATTCAGAAAATTAAAACAAAAAAAGCACCAGGTATGGAAATGATCGTAAGGTCACTAATGATACATATGCCTAGAAAATGTCTCGTTGTAACACAAATATACAATGGCATCCTTCGAACGGCATACTTTACACACAAAAAATGGAAAATTGCTAAAGTGGTAACTATATATAAAGCGAAAAAAGAATGGGATAAACCGACCAGTTATCGACCAATAAGTTTGTTGTCTACACTATCGAAGACCCTCGAGCGACTAATATTTCCAAAGCTTCTGAGTTATGTAAGTCCTGTAATACCGAACACACACTTTGGATTCAGAGCATCTTATTCTTGTCCGTGGCAATTCCACAGAGTAGTGGATAAAATACTACAAACTTATGAGGAAAAAAGTATTGTCTAGGTTTATTTATAGATACCGAAAAGGCCTTCGATCGCGTGTGGCATAAGGGCCTGCTATATAAGATTAAAAAGTTACTACCCGATACATACTACCGGCTGGTGAAGTCTTATGTGACCGACAGAAAATTTTTTGTCAGCTTTAAAGGAGCGAACACGGAAGTACACAGCATCTCAGCTGGTGTTCCTCAAGGAAGAGTTCTGGGACCTCTCCTTTACATTCTGTACGAGCATGACTTTCCAGCAGATAGCGGCATCGAAATAGCCCAATTTGCCGATGACAAAACAGTGTTGTCCCAAAGTATCACGCTCAGTGATGCAGAAACGAAGATGCAGAATTACTGCCAAAAAATTGATGATTGGGCATCCAAGTGGAAAGTTAAGCCGAATTCAACTAAGTCCAAACTCATTAACTTCACTTATAAGAAGACCTCAAGGCCCTCACATATGGTACTCGGTGGAACTAATGTACCTCAAGCGGACTCAAATAAATACTTAGGGCTGCACTTGGACTCGCATCTCACCTGGAATAACCACATATCCTCATGTGTAACGAGAATTCGCTTGCGTATTCGCAATATCAAATCAATTCTCTCTAGCAATTCTGTCCAAAGTCCACTTAAGCGACTCCTTTATCCAAGCCTAATAAAACCAATAGTTTTTATGGCTCGCCCATTTGGTGTTCTGCATCCACCTCGCAAATCAAAAGGATACAAACGCTGCAGAACCGTGTATTACGGTTAATAACAAACGCGCCCTGGTTCGTAAGGAATGAACAGCTCCACCATGAAATATCGTTGACATCGGTAGAAGACGAACTAAAGAAGAGATACCCGATGCTGCTTGCCAAAGCTGACTCCCACCCGAATCCGGCAATTGCACAAATTCCAGGGAATATGCCTCCACCCCGCCAACAAAGACGGCTAAAAAGAAAGCATCATACGGACTACAGATTGTAAATATGTGTTAATGTAAATAAGTGCTAGTGTAAACGTGCGCCTGACGTTATATGATTATAGATAAAAACAAAAAAGTAGGTTAATTTATTTATTAATGAGATATTTATTTATCTCAAATTATTATACTCCAGTGAATTATTGTGTGGACTGCCATAGGGCGGGACCCACCCTCAAGATGTTAATCACACTTTTTGAGTGTGCTGTATATCAGTATTTATTAGCAAAACATAATGTGTATGTACACAAGAGTTACATTAAATAATTTTTAAAAAAAACTTGTGTTATAACTCCCACTTTTTGCAAGTTCAAATTGAGCTCCATTAAAAAACCAGCTTCTCATTGGAACGTCGCGTTGGCGGGTTCACTTTTGCAATTCATGTCGAGGGACGTGGTTCTAGAAATCCTTCAACCTGATGATGAGCTAAGGGCTCAAAATCCGGATCGTTGGAAACAACTTACTGTGAGTAGGAACTATCTTTTTTTTAAAGGATTGAACACTGCACTACATCATTCATCATTTCTATATGCAATATTTTTTCCTGAACTTTAAATTTGCAAAATATGTTGTATAAGTAGGAGATATCGAATGAAACTATCGTTGGGTGAGAAAAAAATAATTACTTGGTAAATATCGCCTGAAAACTCAATAGAAATAACATTATTACGAATGACAAATTAACGAAAAATGCTAAGGACTTATCGCAATACACAAACTACAAGAATATTATTTAAATTGTTTATTTTTTTCTTCTCATCTTTCGAGTTCTACTAAATCGATACTAAATAGATCGATTTAACTTAATTATTTTATTCCTTCTTCAGTCAAAGCAGCAACTATCGTCACCTTATGTATAACACGAATACACCATATGAATAAGCCAACATATGTCACCTCCATGGAAACAGGAATTTTCCTTTCGAAAAACAATAGACATGGGGTAAAATCAAAAATAAATTTAAAAGACATGTTGGAAAACTAGGTTTATATTTACCATTATTTAGGAGTTTTCTTTTTGTTCGGACGGTCGACAAACATGCTCGCTGTGCCACTCAAATATTTTCCGAACGTGGCAGAATCTTTAGAAGGAAACCCGTATACGAAACGAGGAGGCGCGGAGACAATCACTTAAACACGGGATTACGGGAGACTCTTCATTCCTCAAAATGTTATTTAAAAGCTTTCCAAAGAGAAAATTTACGTAGACCGTCAATGCGATAAATATGTATCCAACCAGCCTTCCCAGGAATGTGAAATCTTTTATGAAAGCAACAACCCAAACGCCTTTGAAGTGATAAATAACATGCAGTCATACGAAATACATTGAAAATATTATATTATATTATACAAAATATTTATCACGACAAGCGCGACTATCGATCCTGGAGCATCGCCCTTGCAGCTGAAAACTCACATATTAACGGAAAAGGGTTCACCGTGAACAGGAAATGTCTACACCATTTGGGATAAGTCGACCCCCTTTATGTTTAATTTCCACCAAGTAAATAGCCAAAATCTGGAACCGGTATAAAATCCGAACGGCAGAGCAATCGTCGATCTAATGAAAGATCTCACCGTCGACCACGGAGGAGCTTCATCCAGAGTGTAAGAGCAAAATATCATTATATCAACCATTAAAGCGATCAGGTTATAATCAACTGACATGTGGCATGAAGTAAGGATCCGTATTTGAAAGAGTAGCCGAATTTCATAAAGTAATCCTGTTTGTAATTCGCGATATAATACATGCGTAAAGATAAGACCACAGAAAAGTTAAGTAAACCAAGAGTGTGACGAGCATTGAAAAAAGAAGATCGGCCAGTTTATATTTCCTTTCGCACTGGACCTCTTTGCTTTCTATTGTTTCGGAAATTATATTTATACATCAGTAAACTGATTCCAATTTTATTTTTTCAATTGTTTTCTTTCTGTGTATTTTAATCATATGTCCGAATTCTTTTTATTCCTGAAATTACATACTTTATTACAAATCTTTATTTTGTTCAGGAGTGTAAAAGTTGTCATATTCTAGAGGTAACTGTACTAGATACATCGTTGTGTGATTCTAAAAAGCAGGTTTTTTTAAACCTAGTAATTTAAACAACGGTTATATCAAATTTCATTGATATATAAAATATTCCAACGAAAACGTAACCATGAAAAAGGGCCAAGTTCCAGATCTACTAAAAAAAAATTCATAAAATTTTATCTACAGTGTGGATACCTCACTTCACTCCTATTTTTATGAGCAACGCAGTTCTTTTATTGCTTAACACTTGGCCAGTTTCTGACTGAGGAAACATGGCCATATTTGTTCACACAGTGGATGTGGTTAAAGGAAATGTAGAGGAATCAAAAGAAAAGGAAAAAGTTCCAGATTCATTATTCAGAAACTGGCTAGGTATGAACCAATATTTTTATATTGAGAACGGTTTTGACCGTACTTTGGCTTCTTGATGATTTGAGTCGAGTGTAAAGTCCCAAATAGAGGACGACATTGGTTGTTGGGAGAATAACAGTGTATTGGAGGACGCGAATGTCAAGGTTATTTGGTGGGATTTGGTTCCAAAATGGATAGTTGGTTCTGGAGTTTTCTGAAAACTGGGCCTGAGTTTGCTGAAAGAATAGCTGCATCATCTGCTCATTTGTGTACTGTACCGGGATTGGTCGGAACGTCTACAGTGCGTTCTGAACAGAGAACGGGTCCAAGGATCCTGCCTTGCGAAACACCCGCTTCCGCTTAGTGGACAGAGAAGAGGGATGTCCAGATAGGATTGAATGATGTATGAGGATTGAATGATGGAGCTTGAGTTTTTAGAGCACACCCGGGTGACAATCGATATTTCAAAAACATAATTGCCTCTTTTTTTGACACTGTTGATCAGGTGGTAATTTTTATTTATTACAAAATATTTTGATAAATTTAAAATTAAATTTGGGCTCTGAAAGTTTTACAAGGTGATAGGTTTTACACTTTGTGGAATGAATCGTACTTATATGTATGTACAACTGTTATGTTTGTCTTAATGTTTTATTAAATAATTTTTCCTTGTCAGGACATTGTAACAACTCATTCCGAAACATGGAGGTAGATTGTGAAAGGAAATGCCAACGTCTTTATCTTTGTTTTGCTACGTTTATTCACACAGGTGGTGTCCTTAACTTTTCCGCAGGAATGTGTTTTCGATTGTATAAAGATATTACCCACGAAGACCAGGATTTCTTCATGAGATTTGGCTATTCCTTTAAATATGCCTCTATGGTAAACGCAGTAATCCAGTTGTTATATTTCTTTATGGCTCTCACAGTTGACATTATGATAATTTGTTCCTATACTTTGGACGCACCTCCCCGATGGTTGAAGGCGAGATCATTCTTTAGATTGGCGCTAGCTATACCATGTGGATTTTATACATGTGTGATGTTTTGGCTATTAAGTTGGTACGATGTCACCGTGTTGGGTGATTACGATTCGCCATTGTTGCGTCATGCATTCCACACGTCGAACCTCGTTCTTTTAATGTTTGATATGATCTTCTGCAAGGGTGAACCTTCCAGCATTATAAAATCTCTACTTGTGATAAATATCCCATGTATAATTTTCTTCATATGGCTACATATCATTTATTACTTCACTGGCGAGTGGGCGATTTCTTTCGTGAAAAATCGAACCCTCGTGGAAAGGCTGTTAATATACGTTGGAACTGTACTGGAACATTGGGTGGTTTATTTCATTGGTAGACTTTTTAATGACATTTTGTGGAATGAAGATTTCGTCGCTCGAATCCCGTTTTTACGCCGTTTTGTCTCAGTGCCTCCTCGCTTCATATTTGGACGTCCTTCTACAGATTCTACCAAATTTGAAAAAGTCTTGAGCCGAACCGAAAGCATATTTGTGGACCGACCAAATAAATAGAGGAAAACTCAGTCCAACTGGTAAAATTAAAAACAAATTTTTTGAAACACATGATTTTATTTAAAACTTTGTTTTCAGAAAGCAAGTTCCTTAAAAGTGATGATATTCGGTTCTATATTAAGTTTATTTGAGGTAACTCTGATAAGAAATGCTCCTTTTCGCACTAATAAATGAAAATATGAAAATATTTTTCTTTAGTACTTTCCTATAAATATATCACACATTTGCAATAAAAAAACATCTTATCCATCCGACATTCACATGTTTCACATGTCGAACACATAATCGGATTTAGTATCGACTAGAAATGAAAGATTTGAGTTACTGAACGCCTGCCAGACGTCTAAAAGCTTCACTCCCGCCCCTGGAATTTTCCGACATCACAAAATATCTTAACTCTGTTCATCATACTCTAGCTAGGCTAATGTAGTAGACATAAGACTAGATTCTTTCGCATTATACCACTATGATGCCAAGTCCATCGAAGACAGTCTCATTCATAACTTCCCACTGTCGTAATGTCTTCTTTTTTTTCAATCAATTCCACTTTCTTAAGATTACCTAGTTTCAAAGATCGATGAGAAACTTGTACTTTCAAAAGCCCAAACCTCTTCGCCCCGTAATCTTTCTAAAGCACTACTATACACAGCTGACACAACGGAGATAATACTGTAATTCTATACTACAGAAATTCATATAGGAGTTATGACTGGCCAACAAAATATAACTTTAATCCTTTTTAAAAATATAGTTCTACTCACAGTAAGTTGTTTTCCAACGATCCGGATTTTGAGGTTTTAGCATCATCATCAGGTTGAAGGATTTCTACAACCACGTCTCTCGACATGAATTGTAAAAGTGAACCCGCTGCTACCCCCGCCAACGCGACGTTCCAATGAGAGGCTGGTTTTCAATGCCGCTCAATTTTGAACGTGTGAAAAGCAGGAACACCAGTAAATATTATATTAGTAAATACTGTAAGGAAATAATTACAAATTAGTGATTAAAGATAAAAAATAAAAATTAAATTAGAATAATATCTTAACAATTAGTAAATTATGATAAAATTAATAACAATTAAATTAATTAATTTAACTATTTGGACGTTTAATATTATTAATACAAAATTTAAAATGGGAGGTAGATCAAAATCTATTATATTATTAATGCATTTATCTCCATGTTCAATTTTACATTTTTTAATTTCAAATTTTTCAAACCAATCTAGTTCTCTCCCTTTGTTGAAACTATGTAACACTGTTGTATTTAAATTCGAATTGAAATTATGTTTAGCTTCTTTTTGATGGTCTTTAAACTCCGAAAATTTGTTCGATTTAGGCAAGTGTTCTGTAACTCTCGTTTTTATTTCTCTACCGCTTTGTCCTATATATTTAATTAAGTGGGTAAACCCCGCTTTTTGCCAAGTTGTCTACCTTGTCTTTAGGTTTTGAGACGATGTTTTTAAGTGAACTCATACTTCTAAAAGCTATTCTAAACCTTCTTGTTTAAAAATTTTACTAACTTTTTCCGATAATAATAACAACGGAAACCTAATGATTCATTTATGGTGAGGTGGCTGCACCTTATCAGAGGCACACGAGGGTTGGGGCACCAGATCCTGTCTGCATAGACGGGGGAGGGTGCATAACCATCTGTGCTACGGGGTAACAGAAATGTTCCAAGGTTCAGCCACTGTTACAATGGGAATGGACTCATAGTTGGCCGTGGTGTCCCCTGGCGGGTACTTAGAGAAGAGGCTGTCTTCTATCTGTTGTGGCCTTCGCTCGAAACTTGCATATGACCACCGTTATACACCCGGCCCACGGAATACGCTATGATTATGCTGAAAAATTCCTTGAATGCGTGAGTAGTGGTGGATGAGAACGGGTAGTGAATCGGTTGCCCCTACTCGAGTATGCTTTGCACGGAGGTGTAGACTGAGCTCGATTGGAGGCTTTTACCGTAGGTCTCCTCTAGGGGGTGGATAGCAATTCCACTTAAAACAAAACCGCGGCCGGAGCGGATCCGGTAATTCCTAAGCTAGGGAAGCCCCACTACTCAGGGAGGTAGAGTGGCCTTCTCTATCTACGGGAGAGCGGGCTGATGTATTTCGGCTTAGGTAGCCCTTTGCACGCGGCATACGGTCTTTCAGCACTCATCACCCAAGTAATATCAAGACGTAGGTGTAGAAGTATTATTGAAATGGATTCCAGGCCACGCTGGAATAACTGAAATGGACCGAATGGCAAGAGAGGCACCTTAGATGGTACTCCGCACGATGGGGTTCCATTCAGTGACCTCTGCTGTCAATTAAGGCAGGTCGTCTGGGAGGCATGGAAGCGTGAAACAAGTTCCTCGTAATAAAGAAAAATGTAAACTGATGGGAATCCTCTTCCATACCTTCCAGAAAATAAGAAACCCTCCTAACCCGGCTTCGAATTGGCCACTCACGACTCACCCATAATTTCTTCCTTGAAACAATCCCTAAACCTATATGTTCAATCTGTAAATCAACTATCACTATATCCCACATCCTAATAGATTGTCCTTTATACACCTCTGCAAGAACCCTCCACCAAATCCCCAAAGACTTCCAACCCATACTAAACAACAACTCAACATCAATAAACTTTTTTTAACTTCTTAACATACATCCAACTAATAGGTAAAATGTAATATCTTCCCCACAACTCTTGTTTCCTCAGGTGATTTGTGGCGACACCCGACGGGCCTGGTCGTTCTTGTGCTGTATTGAGAGGTGCCTCCCCGGACTCTGAGATCAAGGAATCTCCAGCGAGCTTGGAGGAGGTGTCGACCCCCCTCGATAAAGCCCTGCTCACAATATTAATATTAAAAAGATTAGAAACGTGGGCTTCCGTTATTTCCAAGCTTGGGCGGAAGCCACTGCGCCGGGGTTTGCGGGAGCTCGGCTCTGACGGGGCCGGGCAGCACCGTTGACTTGTATAGACTCAAGGCTTAAAGACCAATAAGGTCGCAGCCTTTATTTAAAAACATTATACTATTTTCACATATGGTAATCATGCTTTTCTGTACAATAAACTTGAATTAAAATCATAATTTGTTATGAGAAATTTCTTTTAGAACCACTATTATTTTTGAATGGGATTGAAAATTGCTTTTTGACTACGTATAAATCATAAAAGTCATAATGGAAGATTTTCGGTAGATTTCGTTATCATATTTGTTTGGTTTTTTCGTTTCTAATTGTTACCTAAATCGATTTGCTCTCCCAGGAGTGAACGAGCTCACACTTAATCAGTGAAGATTACAATAATTTTCAATTCAAAAGAATGGAAGTGGTCATAAAAGATATGGTAGAAAACAAACAGTAATGAAAATAGTTGTATTGATGTATAATCTACAATAGATTGCATTCGAAAGGAATACCAACACTACACTCCACAGCATCCACGCTGTCCATAGTACAGGTTTCCTCGTCTCATCCATAACACTGTATACAGTACTACTAAATAACCAATCCGAAGCCGTTTTATTTTACGAAATTTGCTTATTCCTTAAAATAAGTGAACTCACTGAATGCCATAATCCAATCTGTATCACCTCATCGTACTCATCGCTGATATCACCAATTGTTCGTATACGATGGATGTGCCTCCCGGGTGGATTGCGGTGAGGTCGTTCATCAGGTCAGCTATCGCTATACCAATTGGATCTTTCACCACGATCGGCTACTGGACGTTTGTTTTGAAAGACCTCGCTCCTCGGGAAAACTGATTATCCGTATTGGGTGCAACCTTTATTAAACACGACGTGTTCATTAATTTTACTGTGTGATATCTGCTGCAAGGGTGAATCCGCTAACATGGGCATTGCGTTTTGTACTTTAGGTATATTTTTTTTTCTATTTCATATGCTTCACATCATATATTATTTCTTCATGGACGTGTGGGCGGTCCCTTTCCTAAAACAGTTATCGCTCCAGAAAAGCTAGCGTCATACGTTTTTCGTGATCATAGAATACATATTTTTTCTCATTGGCAAGTTTTTAAACGATCTTTTGTGAAACGAGGATTTCGTCTTGAACTTCCCATGTTTAAGTAAATTCATCGCCGCACCTTCTCGCTGCATTTACGGTAATCCTTAGGTGACCTCAAACACAATTAAAGGACTTTCAAGTAGAACAGGAAGCATCCTTATTGACCAACCAAAATAAATCGAACCCACCAGAAAAAAATATAAAAGTTATGTTTGTTTTTCTTTTACTTATAATCATATGTTAAGAAATTTTAAGCCAATATTATCAAAATGACAAACAGGTTTTATAATTGTTCTGTGATTGGATAATTGCATTCCTTGCTATGCCCGTAAAACTAAATGTTGAAAATAATTCAGTTATGGTTTACATATGACAGGGTGCAAAGGTATTTCAACACCATCCTCTTTATTCCTCACGAGCCATACCATGATTTAATAATAAACCATAAGTCCAACCCAGTTGAACCGACAGGATAGATTACTACCGAAAATAAAGAAATTCAAAACCTATGTCCATTGCCTAGTAATATTAGTAAAATATAGTAATATTTTATTAAATTAATGTTGCCAGAAAGCGCCAAACAGTAAACGCACATGATTTGAACAGCTATCCAGCGATGGCACTTATTTGACAAAAGAAAATAATCGGGCCGTGATCTTTGAAGAATGGCAAAAGATGAAGAGATGTGCTGCCGATCTTAAGGTGCGCAATGAAAGAGCATTTGACTACCGATCCTAAGACCATAGGTTTCGAATACTACTAGTCATTTTAATTGTTAATTATTCATAATGTACTATTAATTAACCCGTCTTTAGCTATAAACCTACTTCTAAGCTCCTAATCCGTTAATGACCTATCATAACCTAACCTTCCTCCAACACTATGCTACCTAGTTTATTACCTAACCTGATCTAGCAAAACCTAACCTATCCCTAATTGTAACCCTACCTAGCCTAACTCGTCCCTAACCCTAAACCTTTATTTAATTGGGGGGGGGGGGAGTTAAAGTTAATTCGGTGGGTTAGATAGAAGGTCACGAGGTCATCGACGTTTTAAACGGCGTGGAGGATTGTAAGGGTGAGATGTTGAGGAAAGAGTTAGGGCTAGTGAGTCAGGGTGGAGGGAGAGTTTAGAGTGAAAAGTGAAAAAGCGTGTTTGGATAAGATCTTTGACGAAAGGGATTTTAAGATCTTTATGGATCGTTTGATTTGTGACCTAGAAGGGAGCATTGAGGATACGGTGGAGAACTTTTGATTGAAAAGACTGAATTCGTTGGATATTGGATGATTTGGTCGAGCCCCACAGCTCGAATGTAGGAATTAGTCTTTTAAGGAGGATACGTTCAAAGATTTTGGATAAAATAGGAAGGAGGCTTATTGGTCTATAAGAGGACACTGGGGGTTGGTGTGGTTTTGGTATTGGAGTTATTAAAGATAGTTTCCACTGGATAGGGAAATAGGTTGTGCAAAATATTGCATTGTAAATAGATGTAATGTACACTCTTGCTTTTTTGGGTAGATTTTGGAGGATTTTAGGGGTAATTAGATCATGGCCTGGGGATTTTCTTTCGGAAAGGCGGAGAATATGAATGATACATGACATCTGCGGGATGGATGGGCTTAGGAGGTACAGCGAGAGGGAGAGGAGAGTGCAGGAATTCATTGATATGATGTGAGTGTGAAGTGACATTCATGATGAGGATGTGATCGGAAAGTAGCTTTCTGCGTTTGACCTGGCCCAGGTACCGTTGGGACTTCTAATTGGAGAAGGCACTTGGTAGTGTTTGGTAACCTTTCTAGTAGCTAGCCAAAGGGAGTTGTCTTGTGTGGATAAGGATTCAAGGTATGACTGGAACTGGGATGAACGGGAATTGGATAATTCGAGTTTCAAAATATAAGTAAGACGGTTAAATGTTACTTTATAAGAGGGGTAACGATGGCGTTACCACCGCAACGTTGCTCTTCGTTTGGAGGTTATAAGTGTATGGATATATTCGGGAAGATGGGAATTCGGAGAGGCGTGTTGGATTTTACTTGTGAGAATACTGACAGCTTATTCTATTTGGTTACCAGTTTTAAGAGGAATGTTTAGGTTTAAGAATAGTTTCCAGTTTACTAGGTTGTTGATTAAAGAAGGTCTGGAAGGTGTATGAATGGGAGTTGTATCGAGAGTGAGGAGCACTGGAGAGTCAGGAGATAGGTCGTTTAAACATTGGCTTGATAGGAAAGAAGGAACCTGTACCAGATGTCACGAAAAAATCCAACAAGTCGGGACTGCGGTTTTGATCAGTGGGCCAGTAGGTTGGTTGATCGGGAAATAGATAAGTGTAATTGAGAGGGTCGAGAACGTTGTGTAGGAGTCGGCCACGTAAATGTGTGGTTCTGCTACCCCATGCCTGATATTTGGCGTTAAAGTCGCCCCCGGCGATAAAACGAGAACCTAATTGTCGAAAAATAGAATCAAATTGGGGATAATAAATGGGGATTGAGGGAGTACAGTACACTGCTGACAAAATGATCGGGTACTGAGGAAGGGAAATAGAAATTGAGGTGTGTTGATAGGAGTCGGTGCTTTCAGAGAGATGAAGATGATTGGAAATAGCGTTTCTGACTAGGATTGCCGTGCCACCTTGGGCTCTTTGTCCTGTGTGAGAAGTTTTGTAAGTTGTGTATCCGTTTATGTGAAAGTATTGTGTTTCTGTCAGGTGTGTTTCTGTTAATAGTAATACGTCAATATTTCTATCGTTTATTAATGTTTCTAGTTCAAGTCTGTGTTATAGTAATCCATTTGAATTCCAGAGAAGAGCTGTGAGGGTCCTCGGAGGGATCATCGGGAAAGTTTAGGAAGTAATTCGGATACAAGGGTTGTAAGAAGGGATATGAGTGCGGTAATTAAGGATTTAAAATCGTTTAAGAAGGAAGTGAGGTGGGTCGTGATGTTGTCAGTGGAAGATGGGATGGGAGTGGGGGAAGGAATGTTTGGTCTGACAGATCTACTTGCCACTTGGGCGTAGCTGAGCTGCTGATTGATTACCCAATGTGGTCTTCCTGTCGAGGGCTGTACTTGAGGTCTGGTGGTATCCGCTGTTAGTGCATGGTTTGGTTCGGTTGTCATTTTCCTGGATGCTGCCGGCGGTGTCCTGGTTGGTGGAGCAGGAACGGCTGAGTGATCTTTGTTGTTCTGCCTATACATTTGTATATACTGCAATTCTTTATGGGTGGCACATCCTCGGTAGTTGGCGGGGTGTGCACCGCCACATAAAGCGCAAGTGGCGGGTAAGGTTGGTGGTTTGACGCAGTCGGAAGAAAGGGGAAGTCCTGCACACTTGACGCATTTAGAAAAGAGAACAGTAGAATTTGAGCGTTGTCTTCGAGATTATCGTACTGTATTTTTTTAAAATAATTGTTTGTTTGGGTTTTGTGGGAGGACGGAGAGAATGAAAGAAAATTCCAGGGAGCTAGATGGGAATGGAACCCACGACCGCGAGTTGTACGAGCCGAGAGCCCTATCACGTTGACCACTCGGCTACCGCAGTCCCCTTGTGTTGTTTGTTTACGTGGTTGCATGAACTTATTTTATGTGGTAAATCATAAAGGTAAAGACAAAAGAGAAGAGGCTCAGGAGAGAGCCCTGACGAACATCCCCCTTTACAGGTAACCACGCGGTTCATTCATCCCCCCACGATCGCCTGCTTCCACCCCTACAAGAAAGACACAAACCGACAAATGCTGAGCTATAAAAGCTAATGGAAACAATATTTTAAAGAAGTGACATAGGAAGCCATGCTAAAATCGATCACTTGTGCAATGATCATGCTACCGTCCACACTCTTTCAGACTGCATCACTCAGCTTAATCGATGCTCTTTGGGTTCTAAAAGGTCTCCTAAAGCCTGACTTAATAGGATTTAGTATGTTACTCTCTTCAAAGAATTTAGTTACCTGATTGTGAACGCTCAAGTCCCATTGATTTTCCTGAAATCAGACGCTTATTTACAACTTTTTCTTTGTCTATTTTTTATTTTACTGCCTTTATTATGTTTGAACATCCCGTAAATAATGCGTAGGGTTTATACTCAAGCTTTCCGTTCGGTGCGAACTCCTATGAGTAAAGTCCACGTTATATCAAAACTACAAATCCCGAGTATTTTTTTTACAATTAGAATAAATTTTTCATTTTTACGTCTAACAATTTTTTGTCAGCACTCGAAGAAACACGACAAAGCTAGGGTCAGACAATATTTACTCATTCACTCCTCGATCCGGATTATATTACTCTTATGTGGAAAATGGCGGGTGAGGGAAAAAAAGATGTAGCCTGAAGTTAATTTATTTTAAAAAAGAAAACTCATAACAACTTTGTAACTTGTCAAACCATAAGAAACAGGTACGGGTAAAAAACGATATTTTGAAAAAGAGTGATCATTGCATAACGTTCGTTAAATCGATATTCAGAGCTATTTCGCACATAGGCACAAATACATAAAACATATACAAAGAACATTATTTGAAATGAATTATTCTTTATTACGGCTAAATCGAAGGTCGTGTATTCGAATTCCACTCGTGACACTAATTTTTTATCTCAACCAAAAACCTTAGTTTAAAATTAAATGATTAATATGGTAAATTATGACCATTAAGCAAATATGGATTAATTATTTGAAATGTTTACTCTTTGTTCTTTGAGGAATGCTACGTGTAGATGATTTCTCCTCTTCTGTCAAGGTATTAAGTACTAATCGTCACTCTCATCTTATTTGCCTATTTGCCTTATCATGGATTCATTGGAAACCCAAACATATGCCACTACTATAAAAGGGCTGATCCGGGGAAAAATCTGTCATATGGTCTACTTAAAACGACTTAAATTACGAAAACATGTTTAATTGAGTTAATATTTATTGGTTTTGAACTTTTTTCGGACGGTCGACGAAGATGCTCGCGGTGCGACTCAACAGTTTTCCGAAGGTGGAAGAATCGTTCGAAGGACGCCCGTATATGAAAGGAGAAGGCTTTGAGACGTAAGCGCGCCAAAACGGAAGTTGAGAGACGTATTCGTCATTCCACAAAAAGTCGTTGAAATGCCTGCCAATGAGGAAACAAACATATTCCACCAACACGGTAAGCATGAAACACATCAGCCTTTCAAGAAGGGTGAACTCTTTCACAAAATCAACGGCCCATGTGCCTGTGTATTGATAAATGATATGAAGCCATACGAAATACATTGCACACGTGAAATTTATCGTGGCGAGCGCGAATAACGTGCGTGCGGGTTCGCTGCTGCTACTGATGACATCGCATATCAAAAAAATTGGGTTAGTCGAGAATAGTAAATGTCTGAACCAATTGGGATAACAGCTCGTCCCCGTTATTTTTAATTTCAGCCAATACAATAACCAGAATCTCGTGCATGTGTACATCCCGTTTGGAATAGCGACCGCCGATCTGAAGAACCATCTCACTCTCAACCACGAATAGGGAGCATCCAGAGTATAGGAGCGATATGCCATTAAATCGACGGCGACTGCAAACGTGTTGTACAGCAACTGACATATCGCATTCAGCACGGCTACGTATTTTAATCCGTAACCGAATTTCATGTAGAAACTCTGCTCGCAATTCGTGATGTCATAATACATGCGTAAAGATATTACCAAGGCAAAATGAAGTATACCAAGAGTGTGAACGGCTATAGAAGTAACGAGATAGGCAAACCGGTGTTTCCTTTCGAACTCTATCTCCATGTCTTCTATTAATTCAAAAGACTGTAGTGACGATGGTTATACAACAATATAATCTTCTTCTTTTTCAAATTTTACTTTTGTCAAATTTTTTCTTCTGCTTTAACTTGATTTGCTTTTCTCTCAGAAGTAGGGAATGATCTTTGTTCTGTAATTTATTGTTGTCGAGAGCGATAATTATAAAATAGCACAGGAAAAAATTCGACGAACGTACAACACTTATAGCCAATTGCGATTAAACCGTCATCTTTCAAAAGTTCAACAGACATCTCCGTTGTAATAGTCAGGCAGTCATGGGCTAAAATTTAGTTTTCACTAGAAAAATAACATATGATAAGTAACACCTGATCTTTTTTTTAAATTTATTGAACTTAAGTCATATACAGTTTGGCAAAATTAATTTCAAAAGTATATGCAGGAGCGTTAACTTAATTGACATGAAATATGTGAGGTCGTTACAATCCATTGGCTGTCCTCAATTTGATTTTTTTTCTTATACAGCAGTGTGTAGTCCAATCTCTTTAAAAAGATAGTTCCTATTTACAGTTAGTTGTTTTCAACTATACGGATTTCGAGCTCGGTAGAACTCCTTCAACCTCATAATGAGCTATAATATAATGAGCTCGAAATCCGGATCGTTGAAAACAACTGTGAGTAGGAACTACCTGTTTAAAAAGAGGTCAGAATGATGACTCCTTTTCATCCATTTAAGTTCACGTATAGGAAGCAGCGACGGGACAAAATCAGTGAAGATGGTATTCGTTGTATGCGTTGATAGAATTCCGCAGATACCTCTTTCACCACTTTGCAGCGTACGGTATACTTAGATCAGGGTGAATAAGGAGTTCCTCCCAGACTAGCTCGTCAGTAAATATTGAAAGTATTAAATTCACTATTTTTCGTGGTCCGCTTGACCAATTAATAACATTCAATTAATTAAGGTTTTTAAGTTGAGATAAAAAGTCAGTGTAACGAGCGGGATTCGAACCCACGACCTTCGGCTTGATACGCCGCTACTCTACCACGAGCTATCGTGAATCCGATCCCCTCAGGCACTAACTTCCCATCTCAAATTCAAAAGGTGGGGTTGAGATGGGAAGTTAGTGCCGGAGGGGATCGGATTCACAATAGCTCAAGTGGTAGAGCAGCGGCGTATCAAGCCGAAGGTCATGGGTTCGAATCCCGCTCGTGACACTGACTTTTTATCCCAATTTTTATTTATTTATTTTATTTTATTTTTTTTTTTTTACGCTGGCATATTACCCATGAAGTTTTCTATTTTCATTTTACTGTCGAGCGTGATCGGCCGACCAGAGCCCCGCCGCGCGCCCGCACCACTCATTCAGCTCTATCATCTTCTCATCTTCTAAATTTTCATGGTTGAAGATAATTAAAAAGAAACGTTTATCGACTTTAGAAATCCATAGATTATGTTGAAAGCTGATGGATTGTTGCTTATTAGGACAGATGTAAGTTTATTGGTTTGGAAACGTTTGGGACTAAACCTCTAATTTTTTAGCAATTTGTCTTTTTCATTTTCATATTCTGGACATTCAAAAATTATGTGAGAAGGATTTGAAGGGCAATCGCAAGTGGGACAGTTTGGAGACGATGCCAAACCGATTCTCTTCTTGTAGCTACTCCATAGGCCATGATTTGTCTTCAGTCTAAAAATAGTATAATAGAACTCCTTTGACATTCCTTCTGGGCTATCGCCTTCCGAAAACCATGGTTTTTTTCTTGAGCTCAGGGAACAGGGACCTGTAATAATTGCCAACATTTGATGCGTTGTATTTTTCTTGCCACAGATTTATCTCAGCTATTATTGATATTTGTAAGGATTATTAAAAATAAATAGAATTTGATATAAAGTAATTTAATTAAAGTCGCTAGAATACAAAACGCCGTTGTCCCAAACAACCACAACTGCGCAGTTCTCCGTGCGTACTCCCGTTAGTCCCGTTTCTTTGTTCTTCCCTCTCGTCAACACCAACCCCTCAGCGTTGCCAACCGTCCCAGTGTTGCCGCCGGTTCTCTTCTAATGTTTCGGAGGGGCGCCTCTTTTCCCTCCTCTTGTCCTCTTCCATAACATATTATTATCTCAACTTAAAAACCTTAATTAATTGATTGAAAGTATTGTTTTTACCTCCTCCAACTAGAAGTTAGACCCAGAAAAGTGTCAGCTACTTTCCGATCATTTTTCCACAGTTTTTCTCCCCATCCAGAAATGATATCCTAACTTGACTCTCCTCACCCCTCGCTCTACCCCCTAACCCCATCCACCCAGCAGACGTCATGAATCAGATTCTCCGCCTTTCCGAAAGAAAATCCCCGCGCCATGATCTTATTACCCCTAAAATCCTCCGAAATCTACCCAAAATAGCAATAGTGTACATTACATCTATTTACAATGCGATATTTCGTACAACCTATTTCTCCAATCAGTGGAAACTATCTTTAATAACCCCAATACCAAAACCACACAAATCCCCCCGTGCCCCATCCTCTTATAGACCAATAAGCCTACTTACTATTTTATCCAAAATCTTTGAACGTCTCCTCCTTAAAAGACTAATTCCCACATTCGACTCTGAAAACATAATTGACCTCTCAATTCCACTGTTCAGCCGGGCTTCAGAGTAGTCAGCACGCTATCCTCGGCTCTAGAAAACAAACAATACTGCTCAGCTGTATTTCTGTTACGGAAACAATTGACCGAGTATGGCACCCCGGCCTTATTTATAAGTTAAAACGTATCCTCCCTCATTCCTGCTATCTTATCCTGAAATCCTTCCTCTCGGATCGATGATTTAAAATGAGAATCGGCAGCGATTTTTCACCTATCACGCCAGTCAAAGCTGGCGTTCCACAAGGAACTATCCTAGGCCCGATCCTCTACACCATCTACAATGTTGACATATTCACACATCCAAACACACAACTCACAACGTACGCGGACGATATCTTATCTTATCAACACACTCTGATCCTATTCTTGCAACAGAAGCAATCCAACAACACCTGAACCTCATTACCGACTGGTGCAATCTGTGGCGGATCAGGTTAAACGAACGAATATCAACCTACACTTTCACTCATCACACACGAAAGCATTGCTATTTCACAATGAATTTTTTATTGTTTTAATAAAAGTTTTATTTTTACAATAAACTACGCCTAAGATGATTATTTCCCATATTAAAAAACAGGCTAAATATCATAGCTAGGGACATGAAGAACTGATTTCCCAGTCAAAACCCAATGCTTTGATGTTTTAGAGGATGTTGAAATAGATTCGAATTTTATCACAAATTAAGATTTACTTAATCTCAAAAACTTTCAAGCAATACTCGCCATCAATGCTTCTGCTATAGAAAATCTTAAAAGAGGTTACACTGGCAAAAAATTACTCATAAGATCGGATAGCCAAGCCGCTATTAAAACATTAGCATGTAAAAAAATCACATCGAAACTAGTCAATGAATGCATCAGAAATTTACACAACCTACAGACGCACTGGCCAGAGCATGATCTGCAAGACCATATATAGGCCCAGAATTTATTCGTGGGATAACAAAAACAAACACAAAATCCTTCGATACCGAATGGGTCCAAAAAAAGACAAAAGGGGAAGTGGATAAACTCTATCGACGCTAGACATGATACACTTATGCTAATTCGACCCTTACCAAGACTGGCAAAATCAGTGGGACAGATAGAGAGGGCTAAACTTAGAGGAGTGAAAGGAGTATTTACTACGAGGTCACTGGAATCTGAAAACACCTCCTAAACATGGGTTTCAATGCGAAGCAACCACACGATGGAGACATAACCTGAGATACAAAGAAACCCCACGGAAAGGAATTGCAGCAACTACAGTCAATTACCAAGTACGACTCAGTAGTGACGTGCGATACCAATCGATATGTGTTAAGTATCGAATATTTTCTTTCGATAACGAGTCATTTTGGTATCGAATATTGTCATTCCATACAAGTACTGTATCGAATACTTTTCGTAGTATCGGAAAATATACTCAAATAGATTTTTCGTCGACTGTTCAAGTAATATTGTTCGAACCTTACCTCTCATCAAACTGGGAATTGACTGGTTACTGTTAAGAGCGCCTACTAGCGGTATGTATCAACAAAGCTAATCTAGATTTTTAATTGGTGGTTGGTTATTAACTCTGCTGATAATTCTGGTAACTCATAATTCATTCCCGCATCGCAACTCGCACTTTCAATTTCAGTAATTTCTTGTAAAATGTTTTTGTCTTCAAGTCCCTAAAATTGTTCGCCTTCCTTCTCGTAGGTAGATACCTAAACGTGTCTCCTCCCAAAAGTAAGGCGTGAGGTTATTTTATTAAGAAAACTG